CTGATACAAAAATTCTAAACCACTTTTTAAATAGTACAAAAGATGCAAGAAGTACACTTTTTTTTTTTTTAACTGCAAGAAAAGGTGCATGTGGCTTCGGTGGGTCAGAACGGTGTGTTTCATTTAAAAGATGGCCCTGTTTTTAGGGATAGATGCTACTCTCCCACCACCCCTGCTCCTTCTTTCTCCCTTCCTGGCGAATAGAATCTTTGTTCCTCTGGTCCCTCTGGTACTACTTACCAAATGATGTACGCCACTCCATCATCTGCACTTCTTTCTCTATATCTCCCTTTCTGAAATAGGGGCAAAGCCAACTCTACCATACCCAGAATCAGGGACTCTTATCCCAGCAACAAGGACAGTCGAAGGATATGCCACCTCGGTTTTCTAAGAAAGGACAGCTTAATGCAGATGAGGTACATGACATGCCTACATTATTTACAGCCTATTCTAATATTGCCCAATGATTATAGCAAGACGCGTTATTATGAGGACTAATGCTGGAACTCTTTCTCCTCCTCCTCATTCTCCTCCTTCTTTGTCCCTTCCTCTTTCACCTTTTACCCCCCTCACTTTCCTTAGGGTATCCAGCGTCCTATGAGCAAGACTGAGATATGAGGGCAATTTTTTGGGGTGTCCTTTCCTTCCCACACACTTCCAAGAACACTACTCTGACATCAGTTCCCATGCATCCTATTGATAACAAAACATTTCATTAAAACTTCAGAAAATCCTGAACTTTAGAAACCCTGAAGTGCTGGACCAGGTTAATTTTTTTTTTGCTTTCTTTTGTTTAGAACTGGCTAATAGGCAAAATTTCAAATGCAGAATAAACTGCATTGTGATTTTGAGTGTTAACCAGACTTGTATCCCAATTTCTGAGCAATTTGGTAGTTTCATTTTGGCTGTAAAATACATCAGCAAGCATGCTGATTATCTTCTTGGGTCTCTAACATACTGCATCTAAAAGGAGCATTTCCAGGTTTTTATACTAGTTGAACTAAATGTCAGTAGCTTGATTTTGGGGGAGTTTCAGACCACATGGCTTAATCCGTATTTCAGTATTAATATTGTAGAAATGGAGTCGTGCTTCAGTGAGATCAGTTGAGTTGAGTCCATGGCTGTGTATTGTTGGTCTGAATATTTGAAACAGTTTGAGTTTTTCTTTGGCTTGCTGTTTACAGATTAGCCTGAGACCTGCTCAGTCTTTCCTGATGAATAAAAACCAAGTGCCAAAGCTTCAGCCCCAGATAACTATGATTCCTCCCAGTGCTCAACCACCACGCACTCAGACACCGCCTTTGGGACAGGTAAATATAAAAAAATCCTGTATGTTGTTGGCTATACTTTCCTGTTTGTGCTTGGAAAACTTAATGTCAAATGTGTCAAGGGAGAAAGATGTCTTTGATTGTACAGAGAGGACATGGGAAAAGAATGTGTTTGAAACCAAACTAATTTTAGTTCAATCTGCTTTTTTAATGTTTTCTATTGTAAAACTTTATAAAAACAAAAGTAGGTGTGCTACAAAGGAACAAATTCTGGTCTCTTTTTCAGCCGCCTCAACTTGGTCTTAAAACAAATCCACCACTTATACAAGAGAAGCCTGCAAAGACCACCAAGAAACCACCTCCTTCTAAGGAAGAGCTACTTAAACAAACTGTAAGTTGGTGTGCAGTAGTGAGTCTTACAGCTTTGGATGTGATCTTGGAAAAGGATGCTTAACTGTGCTTCTTTCCTCTCCAGGAGGCTGTTGTGACTGAGTATCTGAACAATGGAAATGCTAATGATGCTGTCAATACTGTAAGAGAAATGAGAGCTCCGAAACACTTCATTCCTGAGATGCTGAGCAAAGTAATCCTGCAATCCCTAGACAGATCAGATGAGGACAAAGAGAAAGCAAGTACTTTGATCAGCTTGCTCAAGCAGGAGGGAATAGCCACCAGTGACAACTTCATGCAGGTATTGTGGTCTGATAATCTTGCAGTTCTCGTTTCTTGGCTCTTCATAGTGTTTAGCTGCTGTAAAGGCAGCATGCAAATATTTCTTTAGTCCTGCTAATCTGAGGAGGTAAAAATAGTACATGAACCTGTGAGGGGCACAAGTGAAAGGAAGACATGCAGTGTTTAGGCAGTTGGAACCTGGGATCCTCTTTGCAAGTGACTACAGAAAACATACTATGAGCATTATGTTGCACAGGAACAGAATTACTTAGGAATTTGATCTTGGTGTGTTTACTGTTTCTTAGGCATTCCTGAATGTATTGGACCAGTGCCCCAAACTGGAGGTGGACATCCCATTGGTGAAATCCTACTTAGCACAGTTTGCAGCCCGTGCCATTATTTCAGACCTGGTGAGCATTTCCGAACTGGCTCAACCACTGGAAAGTGGCACCCATTTCCCTCTCTTCCTGCTCTGTCTTCAGCAGTTAGCTAAGTTACAAGACCGTGAATGGCTAACAGAATTGTTCCAACAAAGCAAAGTGAACATGCAGAAAATGTTACCAGGTAAGATTTGCCACAGAGCTCTTCTGTTACCTGATCCTAGAGTAAGCGAGATGTTCTTCCAGTTTATGCCAGAGTAAAATACCATGCAGGGTTCTCTCGGTGGAATTAGCTGTCAGTATTGTTAGGAATGATATTTCTTAAGGGGTGGCTGGAGCATGAACCATTATTTAGAACTCTTGAGAAGCACTTAACACGTGTCTTTATTTCCTTGTCAGAAATTGACCAGAACAAGGATCGCATGCTGGAGATCTTGGAAGGGAAGGGGCTTAGCTTCTTGTTCCCGCTTCTGAAACTGGAGAAGGAACTGCTAAAGCAAATAAAATCGGATCCATCCCCTCAAGCCATCTATAAGTGGATTAAAGATAACATTTCACCCAAGCTTCATGTAGATAAGGGATTTGTGAATATATTGATGACCAGGTAGGATGCTGTTTTGATAGGTTTCAGGTACTTGTTTGGTTAAGCTACCAGTAAGGCACTTAACTCTGTAAAGGCTCAAATGTAGCTCTGCAGAAATCTGAGATGCAGTACAGGGGGAGACTGTTCTGAGTGAACCCTCTGTAGTAAAATCCCATTGTATTTGAGAAGAAAAGTCTCCAGGCTTGCATCAGTGTGTGAAGCGTTTTCTTTGGGAGGAGGAGGTCGAGATCCGTGTGTCTTTCTAAAATGCAGAGCTGTAACAAAGGCAGAACAAGGATTTTGCTGGTGCACTGTCAACCACAGTACAAATCTGTGCTTGCTCCTTACTGCAAGTGAAAGCAGGATGATAGTTGCAGTGATAGCTGTCTTTTAACTTGATACATCGAGTGCTTTGATTTTACTTTACAGAACTTAGTTTGGCTTTTCTTCTGTCCAGTTTCTTGCAGTATATTTCTAGTGAAGTAAACCCACCCAGTGACGAATCGGATTCTTCGTCTGCTCCATCTAAAGAGCAGCTGGAGCAGGAAAAACAGCTGCTTCTTTCCTTCAAGCCGGTGATGCAGAAGTTCCTCCATGACCATGTTGATCTGCAAGTGAGTGCTTTATATGCACTCCAGGTGCACTGCTACAACAATAATTTTCCAAAAGGTAAGTGCATTGAGGTCTCACCTGAATTGGCTTGTCCCTACATTTCTTAAAATTCAGCAAGGGGTTGAGACGGTTATAAAGCTAACCAAGTTTAAATTGATTTTCATAGGCATGTTACTGCGCTTCTTTGTTCATTTCTATGACATGGAGATCATTGAAGAAGAAGCCTTCTTGGCATGGAAAGAAGACATTACTCAAGAGTTTCCAGGGAAAGGCAAAGCTTTATTCCAGGTAAATCTGCTAACATTAGAATAGAGACTTGTTTTTTGTTATTTCTGCTGCACTGGAGTGTTTGAGAACTTTTGGAGTGTCTGAAACGTGTAAATATATAGAAACTTCATGGAATATTTCGCTAGGAAGGAGTTAAAAGCAAGATTACTTAAATCCCTCCTATTTTCTAGAGGTCTATGTGTAGTGCAAATGAGGCTGAAATGAAAGGTTTTTTAAAATGAGTTGGGGGGAAGACGAGTGTTCTGTGGAAGTACCTAATGGGGAAACAATTCCTGCTCCCTTAAACCAATTTTGTGTAACTGCAGGTAAACCAGTGGTTAACCTGGCTGGAAACTGCTGAAGAAGAAGAATCTGAAGAAGAAGCTGACTAAAGAACCAGCCAAAGCCTTAAATTGTGCAAACATACTGTTGCTATGATGTAACTGCATTTGACCTAACCACTGCGAAAATTCATTCCGCTGTAATGTTTCACAATATTTAAAGCAGAAGTATATCAGTAGGATATTCTCTGCAAAAGGTTTTTGTAGTATGTCTTAATAGTCTACAATAAAAATATTTTAGAGTATCTTCAATGTTTAGATAACAGTGTATTAGCAGCATGCAATAATTACATCATAAGTTCTCGAGCAGAAGCAGTCTGTTGCAAGGGTCTTCTTTGCTGCCAGTTATCATAGGCTGTTTTTAAGTTAGAAACTGAATAGCAACACTGAATACTGTAGAAATGCACTTTGCTCAGTGTAATACTTGAGTTGTTGCAATATTTGATTATCCATTTGGTTGTTACAGAGAATCCTTAACTGTAATCGATGGTTGTTGCCGTAATAGTATATTTGCCTGTATTTCTACCTCTAGTAATGGGCTTTATGTGCTAGGTTTTAATATCCTTGAGCCTGGGCAAGTGCACAAGTCTTTTTTAAAAGGAACAGTTTACTTGCACAAAAACTGATCGGCTGAAGAGATGGTTTAATGCCCTTTGGAAGAGGTTTTTGTGGGTGTGAAACATGACATGGTGAGAAATTTGAATTGGTCCCTCTTACAGTACTGAAATTAAGTCTATTAATTTATCAAGACATGTTCATGCCCTGATTTTATATACTTGTATCTATCAATAAACATTGTGATACTTGACTTGTTTCTGAATGTCTCCCAGTAGAAAAGCTTTGGTTGATGACTTGTTCACTTAAGAAAGGAAATATCAGTGGGAGTTACCTTAGGTTGCAACCATCCTGAAATTACTTTTACACTCCTTGTCTGGATATGCAGATGAATTCTAAATAAGGTCACAGACAAGATGAGACACTACAGTTGTGTTGTGACAGGAGGAGAATGATGGGATTCTGTTGAAGAAATGGTAGGGGTTTGCCTTGTGGTCCAATGTATGCTTTATCAGTGAGTATGTGCTTTTGACTTGGTTAATGCTTTGAGCTTCCCCCCAGGCCACGTGCATGTTTCTGAATCAAGTGGCACTGTCTGTTAGCTGCCTGTTTCTCAAATTGAATTGGCAAAAAAAATCCCTACAAAAGAGGTGAATGATGTTGCATTGTACAGGCTTGAAATGTCATCTATTAAATACTCAAAACACCTTACTTCCTAGAACCTTGTCCCCAGTGAGTTTTCTTTTGTCCTTATTGATACTTAAGACTTAACCTGTTGAAAAGTGATGTATTTGTAGTGACAAAAGGGTAGTGGCTCCTGCCTGGACTGGAGCTTTGTTTGCCAGTGGTGTGAGTGCTGTAGCCTGTAAACTGTTAAGCATCACAGGAGGTGAAGAAGTGGAGCCCAAGAAAAGGACTGGAGGTGTTAATTAGTCTTGCTTTGAGGAAGGGGGGGAGTTGGAATTGGCAGTGGAGTACCTTGTAACACTACAGCTGGAAAAGCACATCATGGTTTGCTTAGAAGGGTTCCCTGACTCCAGTCACATCTCTGCCCTCTGGAGTGTGAGCTGTGCTTCTGCTACAGCCTTGGGAGCTTCTGTGTAGTGTGGAGCCCAGGAAAGGCAGGGACTGTGCTCTACAAGCCAAATGCTATCAAGGGTATTGAACTTGAATTGCTGGCAGAATTCCATGGCACCATTCCTCATTTCAGAAATGGGGTGTATTCAGCAGTGTAAGGGAGAGCAGGGGGTACTGGTGTGGATGGGGTCCAGTTAAGGTAGGAATGCTTCAAATGCAGTTCAGTGGCTTGAGGTTGAGAGCTGTGTGTGCTGGAGCTGCACCTCCTGGGTGCACTGACATGGGGCTTCCCAGAGCACTTAATGCTATCTATGTTCCTTTGAAACTCATGACTCTTCCCTATGTATGGACTGACTTGGTCACTGCTAGACCTTGAGGTTGAGAGCTGTGTGTGCTGGAGCTGCACCTCCTGGGTGCACTGACATGGGGCTTCCCAGAACACTTAATGCTATCTATGTTCCTTTGAAACTTGTGACTCTTCCCTATCCATGGAGTGACTTGGTCACTGCTAGAACTGGAGGGGTGCAGACTTCCCTCCTCACTCCATGTGCAGGCTCAGGTGCATGTGTGCTATAGACACTAAGGTTCTGCAGTTCAGTGCTCATTTAACAGGTTGGACAAATACAAGTACAGTTACGGGGTTCATTTAATCTAATTAATTCAAAATTCTGTTCCAAAATTGCGTTTTTAAGTGTAACAAGGTGCTGTGAAGTGAAATTTACCATTGTTTCACTAACAGTGTTGTATTTTTCCAAGTTTGTCCTTTTCTCTTTGAACTTTGCTGTTACTGCTGGTTGGTTTAGTGGGGTATGGTGCTATAATACTTCCTGTGGATATGGTAATCTGTGTGTGGAGCACGTGATGCACTTCGCTCCTGTGCACTGCAGAGGGAAGATGGGGAGGAACCACAAGGCAGGAAAGAGTGGTTTCCAACTCAAGTTATATCAGAGGTGAGAGGAGAAGGTAGAAGGATGTGCAAGTAAAAACTTGGGAATAGATCCCAAATCTGCAGCTAAGCTTTTCTGCCGCATTTTGAAGAAGGCTGAGCTGGCAGCTGTGGGCTCCTTTACACAGTAACTAATACAAGCCTTGTGTTCTTGCCCAGTCTGACGTGTCCTTACTCTGCAGCCTTATGTACCTGTGCATGGGGGCTTTGCTGCTTGGCTTATTTCTAACTGACCACTCAGTTAGGAACTCTGGTAGAGAAAACTATAGAAAGAACAACTAAAAATGCAGAATAGAACATAAACAGTAGAAAATGCCACAAAAAGGTGGAATTACCATCACATGACTTGGAAAAATCCTCATGCACTGTGAACAGTTGTGGATTCTTCAAACTGGTGTAAAAATGGTGCTTACTGCAGTGTGCACATCAAAGTGGTCTCTCCGTAGATGAGGAGAGGTGGTAGCATCTTCATGATCTTTTCTGCTGCTGAAGTTTTTAAGTGCTCAAGTGCAAAACTTGTGGCTAATCTGGAACAGGGATGGCTGTTGGTTGGTCTCACTTCTGTGTTCCTGTTGACTATGAGTGGCATTGTACTTAAAATGTAAACAGAGTGCTTAATTCTACATACTAAAGTCACAGTCAAAATTAAACCACTGTAACTGATAAATCTTAATGGCTTTTAATACTTTTGTTAAGGGTTGGGTATAATTATACTGCCAGGAGCTTTGGGAGAAACTGCATATCACACATATTTCCTACCAGTTAATAGCAACTCAGGCGATCCTCTGAAATTCTGAATTAGGTTGCAGTTCCTATTCAGGAACCCTCACCCTGTCAGGTGTGGGTCAGATTTTGAGAAGGACCTGTCATGGTGAATTCTCACCTGCTCCTGGAGAGTGTCACAGTTGGACAGCTGCTGCCTTGTCACTGATCATAGCAGTAGGTCACCATCTGTCCAAGCTGCAGTGGTGTTTAGGTACGAAATCTGAGAATTCCAGGAATGTGTTCTGATCATTGAATCCTGGAAAATCATCTAGTTCCATCCCTGTGATGTGCAGGAACACCTCCCAAAGAGACCATCTTGCTCAAAGTTTCATTAAGCCTGGCCTTGAACAGTTACAGGTATAGGGCAGCCAGAGGTTCTCTGGGCAGCCTGTTCAGTGTCCACCAGCTTCATAGTAAAGAATGTCTTCCTTTTGCCTCACCTCAACTCTGTTTGCAGCCATTCCCCCTCGTCCTGTCAATACTTGCCTTTGTCAGAAGTCTCTCTCCAGCTCTCCTGTAGAAGAACCTTTCACAGGCTCAACTTCATCCTCTTCCCCTGGGAGGGGTGCTCCAAATCACCTGATCAGGTCCTAAAAGTCAAAACACCTTCATGACTGCTATGCAGTTCTGTTTCTTGGGGAACAGTGCAGGAAGAAGCCTTATGGTGTATGGGAAAAGGTAGAGGCTGGGTGGGCCCAGAACAAAATTTTTTAAGAGTGGCTTATCTGGCCTGCTCTTTTAGCAGATGGAAGCTTCCCTCTGAATGCTGTTTGGACTTGGAGTGCTTTTCCCCTTTTTCCCCAGGGCAGTGTGTAAATCCAAACAATTTGATCATTTCAGTGCACTCCTGAACTGTACAAATTTAGAACACATCTGAACCATGAATTATCATGGCTTATGTTGCAACCCAGGCAAGCAGCTGCAAAGACTGATTAAAAAGGAGTCTCTTGCTAATTCATGCTTATTCTCAAAAGTGAATTCCCAGGGAGCTGGTACAGCAGCATGAAGGGTGATGGGCTTGTGCTCACAGGTACCTGAGAAACTCCCATTCATCAACTGTGGTTGCTGCAGTGTTTGCTTCAAATGCTGCTCAGCTCCAGCCTTGTCCTGGTGTGGGGTGTGTGCAGGGGCTTGGGCACCACTGATGGCACAAGGATTCCCCTAAATTTGGGAGGAGGTCCATACTTGGAAGCTGATAAATAGCCATGGTGCATCGCCTACATCAAATGACTTGAATGAATATGAGAAGGGACAAGAGTGTGAGTCTAGTGGCAGAATGGGTCAAAGTGTCACACAAAGGTGAGGCTTTTTCCCTTACCTCGCATAAATCTCCTGTAAATTGATCACCCATCCTCTTTTATCTCCAGTGCTGTTGGCCAGAGAACCAGAGTACACAGCAAGTGCTCTTGCCCAGCAGGCAGGGGCGGGCTCAGTTCAGGGGGCAAGATCCTGTAGGCACAGCTCTAGCATGGGACAATTGTATCTCCACACACTGGCATCTGGGAAAGCAAAACAGAAACAGCAGCTGGGCTGGGAGCTGTGCTCTGTGACAGGAAGGGGAAAAGCTGCACAGCTACACTTGCAGGCATCAGGGTGTAACAGTAATTTAAAGGAGACTGTATCAACATAGCTTCGAGGGTTTTTTATGCCAGGGTGGTTCTACACATAACACTAGATATACCCCAAAAAAGTTTGTCAGTCCTTCAGAAGTAGCTGTATTTGTTATTCACCAAGATACAAGCTGGTAACAGTATCTCCCTGGATCCACCCCTATCCTGGAATTTCAGAAGAAGCTTCACTTCTGAAAGACCAAGAATTCTCTCAAACAGGTTCGGGCCTTTCCCTGTGATGATCAGGGACTAAGATTCTTCAGGCAGGAGTTCCTTGAATAATGTGCCTTTTAAGTGGTGCTGTAAAGGCACACAGGCTTGTCTGGGTTTGATTTAGGGAGCCCACATCCCTTTCCTTTAAGGGAGGGGAGTTGGAGAGGAGTGAACTGTTATTTTTAATGAGTTGACGAAGCAGCCATGGCAACAGTTACACTTGGCATGGATACATGGCTGGAGTGAGGAAAGCAGCCAGCTGAGGGGAGTTTTATCTTCAAATATTTTGCAGTTTAGAACAACATCAGTCTTGCATTTAGTTTTTGTTTATGTTAGCAGTCGAAGTGCTTGAAGGATCTGAGGTGTGAAGTATTCCCAGAATTTTATTATCTAAGAAGCTGTGTAAAACCATTTAACTTTGTGAAAAGAAAAGGGATCTTTTATTGGTTTGATAGTATGGAGGAGTTTATAGAGAAAATGGATGCGTCTCTTTTTGGTAGGACAAAGTGAAATTTGAGAAGTGGAAGTACATAGAGTTAAAACTGAAAGGCAGGTGAAGGCTTGATCTGCCTTTCTTTAGGGATTTTGTTTAACCCTTTAAGAAATGATTGCATGTGCTTTGAGATGTCAGAGACAGCTGCCTCCACAGCAGAGTAGCAAACAAGGCTCCAGGCACATGCAGCAGGCCAGCTTTGTGTTCCTGCCCAGAGGCATAAAGCAGGGGAAGAATTAAAGCCTTGGGTTTTTCTATTCCTACTGATAAACACTCATACATATTATGTATATCCCCATTTATCTTTATTCCTTTTATTCCTCTTGGAGAAATGCCATTCAGTTACTTGATTATTTTAAGCTTAGGTTGTTAATATTTCTGAGTAACAGTAGAAGCATTAGTCCTAATCCCTCTTCCCAATATTGACAACAAAACAGGAACTGGCCTGGGCTTCAGCTGCCATGTTAACCTTAAACAGCCCCGTGAGCCGAGCTCAGAAAGGCAGGGCTCACTCAGTTCCATACAAAGAACATTTTTAAAGTCAAGAGAGCCCCAGCCAGGCTGTGGGGAAGAGGCCCAGCATGACACAGCCATGAGAGGCAGGGTAGGTGCACTGCACTGCTTTTAGGCTGTACATAACTGATTACTCACTTCATCAACACAGCAGTTTCATTTCCTGCTCCAGTGAAGGTTTCCATGGTGACCTCCAATTTCCCACAGTTTCCCATCTATAGGATTGATGTCATTTAATTGGCAAGACCATGAAGTATTTAGCTGTGATGAAAGGCCTTTCATACATTCAATTAGATAAACATCTCAGTAGATTTACCATGAGGTAGGGACCATAATGCAGTAAAACCCCAGCACATACCTGCCACAGGTGAAACCTGTCAGTGGGAGTGCACTGACTCTGGCAGTCCAGGGGCTGGAATGGCTCTGATAAAACACACCAGTTATAAATACAGGATGTGCTATTCTATCCTGGTGGAATTCTTGCCAGTGCAAATTCCATAATAATCTTCATGAAGGACTGAAGTGCAACTCAGTTCAGGAATCATTTAATATTTTACATAATCTCCTCAAAGACTATACAGACTTTAACTGGTTTGTAAGGGGAAATGTCATTGACTCAAACTCTTCCTTCCTCTCTTGCTTTAGGAACAGGCTGCTCCTTGGATTGAACAATATAAATCCAGGTAATCCTGTTACTTCTGACATCACATGAGCTTTGGGTTTCATCCTTGAATAAAGACCATAAAAAGATATTATAGATTGAGTTGAATCCTGGTACTACACCTGTTACCTGTACAGTAAGACACAGAACCAACAGCTAAATTAGACACTAGAGCCTGGAAAGATGGGAATGGGCTTCCTACAGAACCTGGCTCCAGCTGAGAGCTCTGGATCCCAGCCTGTGCACCACAGAGGAAGAGTGTCACTGCACTGCAACACCACAAACACTGTGCTGTCTCTGTGTACTCACCCCAGCACCTCCAGGAGCTCCCAATTCCCAGATGCCGTTTGCCAGGCACTTTCACAGCTCCACAAGAAGTAATCCTTAGTTTTCCTGACAATCTGAAAAAAGCTTGCTGTTGGCATTTGCTGAAATGGCAGACATAAAGCACAATTTGGGCACAAAACCCCCTAAATGTAACAAAAAAAAAAAAACCAACTCATAAAAGCACAACTAAGCAGGGAGCTGATCCAAATTTGGGCAAAAAACCCCCTAAATTAAAAAAAAAAAAAAAAAAAAACAACTCATAAAAGCACAACTACGCAGGGAGCTGATAGATGGATGCCAGCTGTATTTATGCTTGCTCTGGAAAATCTCTGTTTCAGTTCCTCAGTGTGATAAAGGTTCATGTAAACTTGATCCTACTGGATTGGTCTAGGGAGGAAAGAGAGGGGAAGATTACATCTAAATTGGAAACTAATTCAAGTGAATAACAAAGGAAACATCTGAGCTCCTGCTGGGTGGGATTCCTCTTACTTAACTATCCAAATGCTGGATGTCTAGACATCCACACACTCCTGGGGCAGCAGACAGGAACAGGTTCCTCAGAGTGACTCATTCCTCCTACCTTACACAATTACCCTGCGATGGGATGATTTGCCCCCTGGGGATGCCAGGCCATGGGTGTCTCTCTACAAGGTGTCTAGACTGCTAATTTTTAGATGTCTGAAGATAAATAAAATTCACTTAAATCACCTGGCCCTATAACACTACAATAAAATGAATAAAATGGGTCATTGTTGCTAGAGGAAAATTTAAGAATGTGATTGATCCAGCCCTAACTTACTTTCTTTTTTTTTTTTTTTCCTGATGACAATATGGGATGGATGCAATTTGGGAATCAACATAGTAATTTTCTCTACACAGCCTTACAGCAACCCATTTAATTAGAATTGCAAATTTAGATAACCTGTAGGATCAGGTGCAGGAAATACATACAGCTCTATGGGAAAAAAACAAACACAGCAATAATAAATAAATCTTGGCCATAATGTTTCTCAAGGTCTCTGAATTATTTTTTATACTGCCTTTTAAATGCTCATTTTATCAAATTGGTTATCATTATTTACAGAATTATTTTGTCTTTTTGTTTTTCCTTCTCGATTTTCTACTTCTGGAGACTTCAGGAGTTTCTCTAAAACACTGGATTTCTGCACCTCTAACCCACATTCCTTCTCCTTCTCTTCTTTGCCCAGTTGAAGGGTGTCAGCCCCATTTCCCTACAGCCTCTTCAGCTGCTGCAGCTCTGAATTGCTGAGACAGCTCTCTCTGAGCCCAGGGGAGACAATGATGGAATTTAGAAGCAGCACAAAGGAAAATAAATGCACACGTGCCTCTCCTCACATTACCCTGTGCTATCTCCCTCCTCATTTTCCACCCTAACCATTCAAGGATGTGAGATGAGTCCACCAAAACCTAAATCCAGAATGTTTGAATTAGAAATCTTGACACATAATAAATTCTGGGTTGTTTTTCTTTGCTTATCCAGTTTTGTACCCCCGGGGTACTTCCCTTCAGACATCCAGGCTTTTCACTGCAGCCACGAAGGCTGAACATTTAAAACAACAAACAGCCAAACAAAAAAAAACCCCAACCAAAGACAATAAAACAAAACAAAAAATCCTAAACCACTGAGGGAGTGTTAGTTCCCATTGTTCTTGCAGGCGAGGCTTAGAGAAAGCAGCAGGTAAAACAAGGATCAGGATCAAACAAGGTGGCAATGCTGAATAGCACTTGATGCTCTGCTGCTCAGGGACAACTGCAATTAATCAAAAGGAACTCCTGGGAAGCACCCAGTAGGTAAAGAAGCCCTGCAATCTGACAAAACTCCCTAGATTTATTAATATATCAATACCTTTTATTTAAGAAGCTTGCTCTGCTTTAAATTTAGATTCGTCCTCCCCTGATTGTCTCAGCTGGATTTTTAGCTTATTCTTTTCATGTTCTACATGAGTGTTCTCCAAGATAACTCTCCATTATTCTGTGCAGCTCCAGCTTGCTTTCAAAATAATCCTTTTCCACTTGTCACTAATCATGGCTGTAATTTCCTGTAACTGAAGTGACAAGAACATTCCCTTCTACATCTCTCAACTTCACAGGTCAATCTGAAATTATAGAGCAACATTTTAGTTGTGAGATTAATGTTACAGCTGCTTTTATTAAAAACCGAAAATTAAAAACATCACCAAATAACAAACTCCTGAACATTATTCCCAAGACTGGGTGTGGATTTAGCACATTTGTTACCAGGGGCTAAAGCAGCACCCATTGCCTTTCAAGGCACAGCAGTTGACAGGGAAGGGAAGAAGCACAGCCAGGACATGGCTTCACTGCCCTTCTGTGCCCACACCCTCAGCTGAATTCTGCTCTGTTGATTTTTAGGTTGACTTTGTTTTCTGGTCCCATGAACCACTTAGAGCATCCACCAGGAAGTATATTTCATGTGTTGATCCAAATGGTCATCTCCATCAGAGAGATGCAAATCAGAAGGATTTTGCTTTAGGAAAAGCAATTCTTGGCTATGGAATAACCAGCCCTGCTGTAGCTTTTCTCCTGTACCCCAGAGTTATACCACTGGCTCATTTTAGTCATGCCAGGTTTACTAATTCTTAAAAAGAGATCACAGAAATGCATCCTCTTAACTATTAACAGAAGCAATTGTAGCATTTGTAGCAGTTAATAGTTGAGAAAGCTGACCAGGGAGCTCACAGCAAAGACCATCACACCTGAGCATTAAATAAACCCAGGTGCAAGGCAGGAGGAAGGATGCTAAATATTAGGGCAGGACCAGAAGTCTAGGGAGATACAAGCACTGGGCTGTACCTAAAGCAGCTCTGATTCTCTGCCTGGGGCATCTGTGAGCCTGCAAGTTTGCCTAGTGAAGTTTTTCCAGATAATCCACATAATATGCGGACTTTGAGAGGGTTTTTCATGGCTTTTTGGTTGTGCATCCCACACTCACTTCCCCACTGCCACCCCCAATGATTGGTCTGTGGTAGTTTTGGGTTTGTTTTTTTAAACAAATCATCACATGAAGTTTTCCCAAACAAAACAAATGCATGTGATTATTTGGCAACCTCAGTGATTGAGCAACTACAACCACAGCCTCTGCTGAAACTCTCCAGGAGATATTGATTAATTGCCTACAACAAGTACTCTGTGAAAGCAAAGCAGCTTCATAGCAGTCTAATTTGGACAGGAATTGAATCAAGTCATGCCTGGCCAAACCCCAGCTTTTCAAAGTGGGGATCAACAAGGATGGTCAGCTTTTAGGCAATAAAGGTTTAATTCTGTAAGGCAATTCTGGCCATAATTTGTTTTCAAGTCACACTCTTGGCCAGCACTTCAACCTTTCTAATAGCAAAATTATGTGTTTATAGTTTTCTTTATTTAAATTAAATAATTCAAAACCAAAGATCGTTTTCACTGGACTTCACCTTATTAAGAAGGAGAAAGAGGTTGTGGTTCTATTACTAATCAAGCAACAATGTTTGTCATTTTTTAAATCAAGGTACAATTTATGCTCCAAAAACCTTGCAGATCAGACAAAAATTCAGTACAGCTCTGTAAGGAACCATCCTGCCCCAAAGCAGCTTCATGTCAGTGCTGCATGAAATGTGGTCTTGATGTACAATCTGGATTCTACATCTTCACCCATCCCCTGCCCACCATGTTTTCTTACACATTTCTTAAAAGCAACATCAAAGACAAAAATGTATGAAAGCCCTAAGAAATACAACATCACTCCAGCTAGGATACAGCAACAGGACATTCTGCAAAAGTACAGCTGAAGGGAACTGCTGCTGTTTTGGGGCAATTCAGGCCAGGATGGAGAATAATTTAAAATTTGCAATTCTTTTTCACTGAGAATCATTTCTCTGCAAATATTATAGATACCACCAACTTCTCCCTTATGTAGAGCTTGCACTGCTGCCAGCTGAGGTGAATCTTGGGTATTTGAGGATCACAGCACAGCCTGGACTGGACAAATCCCTTTAGATCCTTGTGTCTTTTATGTTACATTTTCCTGGTTTTAATGTACACTTCACTTGATTTTACTGTTACAACTTCCACTCTCTGGTTTTACAGTTGGATAGATCAATAGTCCTTTCACATGCACTGAATAAAATATCCTTTCCCTGCACTGTTTAAAGGCAACAGAAATTGAAACACTCACAGCAAAGCAAGTGTATCTTGGGGCACTAATTACAGACAAGTGAGAGCAGAGCAAAAAGCGAACACAGAAGATCCAAAACAGAAATACAGAGACCCAAGTAATTAAGGATCAAGACTATAAATAATATCTATGTAAGCACTGATCTGACACATCATTGATTTTCTTTCCTTCCTTGCCCCTTCCAGTAATACCATTCTGTTTATATGGCAACTCCTAATTACCTCATAGCCATACCTTGGTTACAAACCTTGAGCAGCCCAGACTGCAGAAGGAAATGAGGAACACTCCAAGAGTTACAGGTTTAATCTCCTGCAGTCTATGCCAGTTCCCCTGATGCAGTGACCATAAAACAAAACAGCTGCATGAATATGGAACTGTCTGTAAGAACACTTTGATTAAAATCACCACCTCAAATTTGTGCATGAATGTGCTTTATTCTGCAAACCCAAATGAGACCTAATTCCTCTTTCCTTTTTAGTGTTAGTAAATAGCTGATGACAATAATTCTTCCTCTCCAGCTGGTCTGGGACAGCTTCCCAAAAGAAAAAAGAATGTTACCTTTTGGTTAGACAGATTCCCATGAGAACGGAGCACACACTGGAATAATTTAGCACAGCACAACACATACAGACAGTTTAGAGCAGTTCAAACTCTGTTGAAAGCTGGAACAAAGCAGTTATCTGTCTTTAAAGAGTAGAGATGGATGAAGAGATGTTTCATCTTCTCTGAAGCATCTTCAGAACTGGTAGTTTACTGTCACCAGCTCAGAGCAAGACCAGTATTTATTAGTATTTCTCAGTATTAGCTCTGCTTAAAGGAGTCTGTGGTCAGCAGTGTCTGCACAGACAGAACCTTCAGGTGCAAAGGTGAGAAGACTCCAAAACCAGTTTTCTCTAATAGAGTTGTGGAACCAGGCAGAAGGAATATAGCACTGC